TCATTTTTGTCTATTCTGGAATTGGTGTGATTATTCACTGGGAGGAATTAATTTATACTTGATGTCATTTGCATCGATTGAACGTCATTTATTTATATTTTATAATTCACTTGTAATAAACAAATCAGCGACAGGGGCGACAGGGCGAAACACGCCAATCTATTTTATCAAAATAATCAAAAGATACAAGCATAAAACTCGCTAATACATCGTTTGGTAGTAGCCCCACTGATGTCGAGCTCATGCCGGTATAGAACCAAATGGGCTTGTGCCGAAACATTGGGAGACTACAAGCAAGGAGCAGATACCTGGATGGACTCCGAGGGGCATGTGTCCTTGCTTGACAGTCGAAAAGTTAGTAAATGTTTATGTATGCAGAGCTATGGTTATTGTTCGGAAGAGCTAATTTCTGCTTGATAATGATGTTGTGGGACCAACCAGAGGCTGGTGTGATTGTAGAAAAGAAAGAGCTGTAAACCCTTGATAGCGTAGGACCAGCTGGAAATTGAGTCGTTTAGAGGAGGTGCTGGGAAGGTGGCGGGTTGCTTAAACTAAGTTTCTTCTCACTAGAAAATCAGAAATTAAGACAAATATAAAATTTTCGTTCTTCCACGAAATTTTCGTTCCAGGACTGCTTGACTACTATAAAATAACGGTGGCGCTTGCTGCACTTCTCACGAACTAAAATTCGATACTTCCTCGAATTATCAATTCATGACTCAGTTCCGACATTGATAGAAGACCCCATTGGGCGATAGGGCGAAACACGCCAATATATTTTGAGGGTGATTTTATTGTTATATAGAAGCATTTAGAAATTACCATTTAGCAAAGCTTCAACACGCATATATGCGTGCCCCTGCGCCAAAGGGTTAAAATACGAATAGAAAACGAGAAACACTTTTATAGGTAAACCCTGTGTGTTTTGCATGGACTGTTCCAATTACACCACCCATTTACACGTACTGCTCTAATTCTCCACATGCGGAAAATTGGAACACAAAAGAATTTTACTAGTCGCTTTTTGAATAGAGCTAGCTCCATCAAATATTATCCGTTTGCAATCTAATCCATGTCAGGCGATAGAGCTGAATATCCTCTACATATCGTACTAAGGATGTGTGCAAAAATAATTTAAAATACAAACATAAAATTCAGATTACTTTTATTAAAAAATCCCGTGTATTTTCCACGGACTGTTCTAATTACCCCACCCATTTACACGTACTGCTCTAATTCCCCACATGCGGGGAATTAGAACAGTCGAGACCGGTCAATCGCAGATCTGCTCCTGATCCTGAAGGAAATGGAATTTAGAAAAACGAAAACGACCATTCGACAGAGAAATACCTCTTCTACAACTTTTGCCAAGGAACCACCCAAAAATTCCTTAAGCTAACTAAGAGAGAACGAAAATACAGAGATTTAAAAAAATACTATTCTAGTTACTCCACCCTACTCTATTCTTATTGGTGCTCGAATTAATAAAAAGCAAGAGAGCAGAATAGGACAAAAACCTGTTTTTCAACCCTGGATCTATCCTTCTGCATACTAGAACGCCGTTATTGTATAAAAATGCTATTAATCTGTTTCTTTTTCTAAGATGTATCGTGTATTTACAGAATACAACGTTACAACTTCACTTAACTGGCTATCAGAAGGGCGAGTACTGACAAGAGTACAGTATATATGTACATAAATAATTCGGTATGTAAGATATAAGAAAAAACTTGTTAATCGTGTATTACACGATTGAAGTTCAAGAACAGGCTATGTTCTTGGAGCACCATCTGGTCTAAATTTATCCCGTTGTTATGTCATTTCATTTCCTTTTCTACCTTCGAACAGTCAACGGTTAGTTCTCGTTTCGTCGAAAGCTTAATAGATATTCCTGTTTCGCCGAAAATTTTTTCCCTAGATTTTCTGTTTTATCGAAAATAAAGCGTTAGCTGTTCCTGTTTCGTCGAAAAAATAAAATTAGAACTAGAATATAGATTATTCTAATTAATAAGGCTTTTTAAACAGACTAATTAAAAAGAATACTGAATTATTCTAAAGGAAGTATATATAGGGTATCAATTTTTTTGATCACTAAAAACAGATACTTTTGATCACCAAACAACTTTAAACAAATATCCAACAGAATATTTACACGAATATACTAATAATAGTACAACAAGCGAACAGGATTGTTGCCACACCAGAAAACCATTGAATATAACCCACCGACGAGAAGAATAAATACCTAGCCAATAATACATTCAATAGTTTTCTAGTGTGGCAACAATCCTGTTCGCTTGTTGTATGGGAGTTGATGAAAGATCATAAAGACCCATATATACGTGAAGCAGCCAGATTTATTAAACGTGCATGGTTAGAACAAGCGATGAAATACTCTCATATACCATTAATTAATTGTGAAATTGAACGTGTTATTATTTATAATTCAAATTTAACAGCTGGTTTCAATTTATTACCAGCAATACTTATTCGAGATAAAACAAGTATGGTTCATCTTCGATTCACTGACCCTTGACTGAAAATGGGTTTTTAGCGATGATTTGGTGTTAGTATGCGCTTAGCTTTTTAAAGGGATGGAGAAACAGGAAATTTTTGTTTATTTA